TGTCGGGTGGCATCTACAAAAGAGCTCAGCTAAGCATAAAATGCCATGCCAAATTTGGAAATGAATAATATTAACATAAACAGAGCCCTGCCTAAAGTACTTGAAATGGACTTTCTTTCTCATTTTAGTTCTCGTGGCCTAAGGAGGAGATACGGTTCCCATTCTAGGGGTGAGCACAAGAACCCAGGGAGGGGAACTAACTGTTCCTAAGATCGCACGGCGGTAGATGGCTGAGTGAGAATTTGATTTAGGTCCTTGTGACTCTAGCCTCCTTGCTTCTGTTGATGGTCCCAGTCAAGCCCCCAGTGGGATCTCTGAGTGCTGGGGAGGGGCCACCTCCGAGTTCTCGTCTCACTATGTGACAGACAAACTTGCTTTTAAACTTCTATTGGCCACATCCATAGATAGTTGTGCTGCTAACCCAGAGACCATGCCTCTTTGGTGACTCGAATCTACCAGACTCCTTGGGAGAAGGATGGGCACTATCCACCCATGCAGCTTAGAATCGCAGAAGCCCAATGGAGGGTTCCATTCGGTTCTGTTCATTCCATCCAGTTGGTTCCAACCCAGTGGCAATGACAGTGAGCGAGTTCTGAAATGAAGTCTGTATCGTCTCTCAAAGTCACTTTTGGTAGCACAGAGCAGGTAAAGGACAGCTCAACCTGGGCTGTCCCATTTTCTGGTTTTATTGTCTAAAGATGGGACACGCGCCAGTGGTAGAGGGAAAGAATGAGGGTCCTGAGGCCAAGTTCTCATGCCAGGGCTTCTGCATGTACAGCATGGGCACTGTGATGGCATGCCAAAGGACGACCGGCCTGGGCAGTCAGTAACTCATTAACTAGGGGCAGAGATGCAAAGATGCAAGCCAGGGATCCCAATTGAGGGATAAAACCACCAGCATTAAAGTCAACTAGAGGCGCCTGAGGCCTAAGAAGATGAGAAGAAAAACACTTTGCTTAGATGGCTTAACATACATGCTTTACCACCATGAGGCCAAAGATCTCTGTCTTCGTCAATCAGCTCTCCCAGGACTTGTTAGAACTTTAGTTGGATCACTATCTAAACATTACATCATGTGTGCTCCACCTCAATACTTGTTTACAGCTATCTAAAACCACAGGCAATACTGGTCAAAGGCAAGCTGCACTCACGAAGTCACCCTTAAACAATTTAACTCATTTAATAAAGATTAGCCTTGAGAGTTTGTACTTTAAAGAACGAATGATCTCTACAAGTGGCAGGCAGTGACTTAACAATGGGCTTGAGCGTGGCAGAGAGTGTGAGGACGGCACAGGAAAAGGCAAGGTTTTGATGTGATCATGGGGTCACTATGAGTGGTAGTTGACCTGACAGCACCTAACAACAACAACAACAAGAAGAATCTTAACCAGCTGGGAGAGATTAAGTTCACAGAGGTGGAACAACAGGGACAAGGAGCAGGGGACTGAGGGCAAAGTGTGAAGAATGTAACCCCTGTCAGCTTCGTTGTGTATCTTTTCACCAGAAATAACAAAAGAAAAACAAATGCATAACTAAGCTGTAGGGAGCTCTGTTGGATTCATAGTAAGGAATTGCACTGCTAACCCAAAAGGTTGTTGTTGTTGCTGTTATGTGCCGTCAAGTCGTTTGCGACTCATAACGACCCTATGTACAACAGCCCTAAACCCTGCTCTATCCTGTGCCAATCGCATTGCTTCTGACACACCCATCCCGAGTACCCCAGTCACTGAATCAATCCACCTCATAGAGGGTCTTCCCCTCCTGCGCTGTCCCTCTACTCTACCCAGCATGATGTCCCTCTCCAAAGACCTGTCTCTCCTTGCAACATGTCCAAAGTATGTCAGACGAAGCCCCAGAATCTTTGCCTCCAAGGAGTAGCCTGGCTTAACCCTCTCTAGGATGAATCTGTTTTCTTGGCAGTCCATAGTACATTCAATACTCTTCTCCAGCACCACAGCTCAAAGGCATCAATTCTCCTTCTGTCCTCCCTAGTCATTGTCCAGCTCTCTGATGCATAACAAGTGATTGCAAAGACCATGGCCTGCATCAGGCGCAACTTCGTCTTCAAAGAGACACTGTTGCTCTTCAGTACTTTAGAGAGGTCCCTAACAGCAGACTTTCCCATCTACACATTTTTTTTTATTTCCTGGCTCCTGGTGCCAAGAGTGTTGACTGTGGAGCCGAGCAAACTGAAGCTGTGAACAATCTCAATCGCAATCTCTTCGCCATCCATCCTGATGCTACCAATTGGTCCAGTGGTGAGAATCTTTGTCTTCTTGACATTGAGCCTCAGTCCATACTGAAGGCTGAGTCCTTGACCCTCTGCACTGAGTGCATGAGGTCCTCCTCAGTTTCAGCGAGCAAGGTTGTGTCATCTGCATAACACAGATTGTTGATAGATCTTCCACCAATCCTAACACCGCGCGTCTCCCAAAAGGTAGGTGATTCAAATCCCTCAGCTGCTCCTGAGGAGTAAGAGTGACAATCTCCTCTGGTGCAATTTATTGCCTTTGAAAACCTGCTGGAGGGTCGATGGTACATAACAACAACAATAAGCTGGGACTCGCTACATAGCTAAGCCTTTATGAATCAAAGCCAGACATAGTCAATCATTCTCAAGTGCTTCCCTATTACTGTTGGGAAGAAAAAGAACTCAGCCAGCATATATACAACTTTCCTTGCCTGAGGAGGACTTGAAGCATTTGCTACAGAAGGTCAACAACTGAAGTCTTCAATACAGATTACATCTAAACATCAAGGAAAACAAAAAGATCCTCACCACTGGGCCAATAGGCAGTATCATGAAAAGATTAAAGCTGTTAATGATTTCATCTTGCATGGATCTACAATCAGCACTCTTGGCACCCACAGTGAGGAAATCAAAAGATGAGTTGCACTGGGAAAATCTGCTATCAAGAACCTATCCAAGGTGCGAAGGAGCAAAAATGTCAGTCTAGAGACTAAAGCGTACCTGATACAAGCCATGGTCTTCTCAGTTATTTGCTGTCTATCTGAGAGCTGGGCAATGACAAAAGATGACAGAAATATTATGCCTTTGAGTTGTGGTACTGGAGAAGGGTACTGAACATACTGTAGACTGCAACAGGTTTGTCCTGGAGAGGGTGAAACCACATTGCTCCTTGGAAGTGAAGATTTTGAAGCTCTGTCTCATATACTTTGGGCATGTTTCTGGGAAGGACCAGTCCTTAGAGAAGGATATCATAGTTAGACGGGTAGAGGGTCAGCACCGAAGAGAAAGACCCTGGATGAGATGAACTGACAGAGACTGTGGCATGGCCTAAGCCGTGTCAGAGAAGGTGAGGGATGGCTCAGGATAGGACAAGGTTCAGAGCTACTGTTCAGAGGGTCACTAAGAGTCATCGCCAACTCAACAGTACATAACAACAGCAACAACCACACTTGGTCTGTAACATCTGTTCAATAAATGTAAATTGCCTCCTTAGTAAAAAAAGATATGGAGCTGAACAAAAACCACAATGAGATATCACTTGCACTTACTTGAACAGCTAAAATTACAAAGTTAGGTAATGTTAAGTATTGTAGAGAAATTGAACCCTCATAGATTGCTAGTCATAATGTAAAATAGTACAGGCACTTGGGAAAACAGTTTGGCAGTTACTCAAAATATTATACACAGGTTAGCTTATGACCCAACAGTTTTACTTCTTGAGAACTGAAAGCACATGTGCACACACCAGCATGAACATGAATGCTCACAGGAGCACTGTTCATGACAGCCAAAAGGTGGAAGTAAACCCAAATGCCCATAGAGCAATGAACTGGATAAAAGAAAAATGTTGTGTATCTGTATAAGGGAATACAGCTAAAAGAAGAAAGAAAGAACTGACAACTACAAAATGAAGAATCTTGAAAACATATTACTTAATGAAATAAATCAGTCACAAAAGACCCCGTATTATATGAGCCTCGTTATATGAAATGTCTCAAATAGGCAATTCCATATAGATGGAAAGAAGACTAGGTTGCTGGGGTTGAGAGAAGGCAGAAATGAGGAGGGACTGTCAACAGGAATAGGGATTTTTTTGGAAATAATGAATACATTCTGGACTAACTGGTGGTGATAATTACACAATTCTGGGAATATAATGAAAACCAACAAACTGTACACTTTATAAAGGTGAATTTTATGGTACACAAATTATATCTCAATACAACTCCTTTACTGGTGTTGCAGTTAAGGCAACTGACTGCAAATCAAAAGTTCAGTGGTTCAAATCTAGCAGTTGCTCCTCTTTGGGAAGAAGTTGTAGCAGTTTGTTTCTATAAAGACTTATTATCTTAGAAAGTCTAAGGGGCGTTATATGTACTGTGTCCTATAGAGTGACTGTGAGTTGGAATTGACTCAATGGCAGAGGATTTTTTTTTAAGATCTTATACAAACCCCCCAAATCAATGATGTTATTAGTTTCATAATTAACACTACAAAGCAAAATGTGTATGAATGGTCACACAAAACCCCCCCCAATTTGATTTGTAAATTTGTTCTTAAGAGAAGAGTGAATTGGGGGGAAGGGGGTAGGCTGGGAGAAAAGTGCAGCAATGAATGACTGGAAACCCTAAGTCTCTGTAAACTTTTATTAAAATTAATAGAAAAAAATTACAATTAAAAAAGTAAAAATTCAACTCCTGACTGAAGCCACAGAATTAATGACCACATCTATCAGCTCTGCATACCTAGCACGTGCCACAGACCATGTGAACGGTTTATACACATGCTCTGTACCTCTCAATACCCTGCAGTTTGGGTTTTACAGATAGAGAATTCGGAAGCTCAGAGATGACAGCTTACCCAGGATCACACAGTAAGTGACCAGGCAGACATTGTGACCCAGTTCTACTTACTCCACAGGTTCAGATCTTCTCAGTCTGCCAAACTCCTCCTCTCACCAAGCCTGGGCAGGTGGTCCCTCTGACAGCCCCTTGCAGCCCACTCAGCCGTGCCCCTGCCAGGAACTTACCCAGGAGGTGCTTGATGATGGCTTGGTTGTGTTCCCAGAGGTTGCTGAAAGTCCCCCAGCGTGAGTGGCCATCTGGCACGGGATTGGCTTTGATCCAGCCACCGCAGGCATAGCTGAAGAAGTCCTGGCAGGGGTCCACACTGGAGTCCATGGAGTTCAAGATGGAGCTGGTCACTGAGATACAGGCCTCACTCAGGCACACCGGGGGCGCTCCTGCCAGGGGCCATGTACAAGAAGCCAGTGAAGAATGGGCAGCGAGGAGGCTGGGAGCACAGTGCAACTTGCTGGGGCCCCAAGAAAGGCATGTCCCACCCGGCCTCAACCAAGGTTCTGGAACTAGATGATTACTAGGCCCTTCCAGAGAAATGGTTTCTACAGACTTATGATCTCTTGGCTTGTAAATCACCTACTTGTTTCATTTGTGATTTATTTACTCCTGATTGTAGTTGCCTAACAATCCTTTCCACAGCTCTGAAAAGTACCAGAATCAAAGTGTTTCTCTAAGTCCTACCTTTGTTTCCCCCACTTCCACCCCTTTATTTCCACAAAGAAGAACTGATTTTAAAAATTTGACTCCTGTCTTTCAATAAGCTTATTCTGCCATGCATGCATTATTTATTCAACAAAGTAACTGCTGGATTTCTTCTAGATTCTTTGCTGGGTAAGGGAAGGTATGTGTGTATTGAATGTGTGTTTGTGTGTGGTGTTAGGGCTGTCTATAAAAGAAAAAGTCCTTTCCTGCAAGAGCTAATAATTTAGTTAGGTACAGAATCATTATCCAAGAAAAGTCAAAATATAACTGTTGGATGCTGTTCTTCATTCTAAAAACCAGACTCTTTTCTATGTGCAGACAAGCTGGTGCCAGGGGGAAGGAAGAGAAGTGGCAGGAACTATGAAGAATCATTCATAGGCAGGAAAGTTATCTTACTGAATTCTTAAAACCCAAAACAAGCCCAAGACACTGTTTTGCTTACAAGCATGTTTATAAGCGTGGAAATGAACAGACACAAAGGGGCTAAGAACCCAGCTCAGAGAACAACTCAGAAGTGAACGGTCCTCTTTTTTTCTCTATTACATCTTGTTCTTCCCGCTATGAATTGGGCAAGAGTACTTTTTGGACACCCACTACATTTTCTTGTGATAATTGGCCCACACTGCCAGGAGGCAGGGCAGCCCTGCCTCCCAGAAGCCAGTCTAAGTAGCAGGGATAGAAGTTGGCATAGCTGGGCAGCAGAGAAGACGACGAAGGCCTATACATGCCCCGAAACACGTGTGAAGAGAGAAAGCAGCTTCTGAGCAGGTTTTCCAGCACAGAGAGCAGCGGGTTCGGGGCTGAATGAAGGTTAGAGGAAAGGAAGAAGGCAGACCTTGGCCACAAAGATCATGAGTGGGTGGGCTTTGGCAAAGAAAAGAAACCAGGCCATGAGCAGCCTCAGAAGTAGCCTGACCAGAGGGGCAAGACAAATCTGAGTGCAGGGAATAGGGCCGGAAATGTAGACTGGTGTTAAGAATACAGACGCAGCCTACCCATCTGTGGACACAAGCCGTGCTGGAGACAACAGGGAGACTGGAGGGTCGCTGAAGGAGAGGACGATCCTCGACCAGGTGGACTGACATGGTGACTGCTGCAATGACTACTGAGTACTGTGCTGTCAGACACCTCACACACACCGAAGCCTCCCAAGGGGCAGCAGATACGAGTGTGAAAGCCTTGTTTACAAACAAGGAAACAGGCTGTGAGGAAGGGAGAGAATAAGGTCCCAGGGCTAAAGGGGAGCCCTGCGGTCTGAACCCAGGTGTGTCCACTCCAATGCTGCCCTCTTCTGCTTTCCCACCACCTCCTTCCTGGTCACAGGGACAGGGGTGTCCCTACCTGCAGAGTAGGGAGGCAGTTAGACCTGACTTCAAACCCAAGCTTTCTGTTTCCTGCAGTGGGACCTTGTGTGAGTGACCCCCATCTCTCTGAGCCTTAATTTCTCCATCTAAAAAACAGAAAAGATTAGTGTGATTGAGCTCACAGGGCTGTGAGGAGGAAGGGAACCATGTCTGAGCGAGCAGAGCTGTGACCAGGTGGTGGCTGCTGAGGTTCCTATCATGTGACCTTTCTCTCTGGCTCTCCCTGTCCTATTGAGCAGAAAGAGAGAAGTATCTGAAGAACTGACCCTCTCCCTCGTGCCTGACCCTTATTCCTTTCACTGTCTGTGTCCCCTTGGTCTGGATGGGGGTAGGGCACGGAATGGTTGAAAATGAGGGGATTCAATGCCCTCCTTATGATAACTGACACAAACCTTGTCCTTACTCCCCCACAGACACACGCACACACACACATACACACACAGATCCTGACACATCCCACTCCTTGAAATCACTCTCATCTAGCCTGCCTTCTGAATAGACCCAGTAACCAGAATTGTGTCAAGCTTTTCTTCCTGTAGTTTATTGTATAAAACCCAACAGGTATTCTTGGGCCAATTTTCAGAGAGCAGAGCAGACACAAGGGCTGGTGGGGGAAATTGCCACCTCACTCAGAAAACATCACTTTGCCAATCTTGTGTGCCTTGTAGTTTGTGGGCTTATTAATAGCCGATGACAAATGCAAAAGTCCTTCAGACTGGGATCTACATAACAGTGGAAAAAACCCAAGGTTTCTTGATTTTGAGGTAAATATTTCTAAGATAATGATATAATTAGAAAATGATTCACAACCTCACAGCAATGGTTCTTTACTCACCAGGAACAAAATGGCAACCAAAAGCTCAGAGAGGAAACCAGTCTACACAAGCTACAACCTCACCCGCTAAGGGGCCAGAAGATGTGGTGCCCAGGTATCACCACTGTGCTCAACACAGATGGATGGGCCAAGAAAGAATGGGAGAGGAACATGGAACAAAAGTCAATTTCTTATTAAAAGCAAAACAAAAAAGGCAAGCTGAAGCTGTAGAGGACAGAGGACTCCTTGAGATTAGCTCGGAGAAAATACAAAAACCAATCCCACTGACACTGAGCTGGTTCCTGCTTGTGGGGGCCCTGCACTGGGTTTCTGAGGCTGTAAATCTTACAGGATACTCTTTAAACCTGGAAGCCAGCCTGTCCCGAGATCACGTTTTAATGAAATGGCAGAGTAGCACACAAAAGAAAGTATGTTAGCTGTGAGACAGGTGCTCCACTTAAGGCTGAAGCATGTCAGGGATCATGAGGCTGGAGCAGAGGTTCATAGGGCAAGGTTCAGATCTGTGGGTCACAGGGTTGCTATGAATCCTACACCACTGAACGGCATGAAACAACAGGTCAGACCATTTTCAATGCAGCTCTATTTCCCTTTCTAGAGGAAGTGTCGGAATCTTTGTAGGGTCGGGGAAGAGGACGTCTGTAAAAAACCTATTCACTATTATAACGCAATTTCATAGCTGGAAAAGGAAAAAGGAAAAAAGAATACTCATTGTTTTTATACAAAAATCTACAGGAAGTAATGCTTGACGAGATTTCAACTCATGGGACTACTCAGAAGACTGGAAGAAAGTGCTTTTCAGAGGCGAGAGTCAGAATCTGTGTGCTACATGTGTGGGTGGGAGTGCACACACAGAGACAGAGAGTAAGAGGATTTGGACTTAAAACAAAGGAAGAAACAAGCGTCAAGGAGTCTGCCTGAGAGATGTGAGCTCTTTAGGGAGCACCGACCCTTTGGGCACTGGGGTACTCACTGCTGTTGAGTCGATTCCAACTCCTTGCAACCTTTCACCAGGTTTCTGAGGCTGTAAATCAGGAGACTGTCCACCTCTTTCTCACACAGTATTTTGTGGATTTGAACTGCCAACCTATCAGGTCTGACACATTAAGCACTACGCTAGCAGAGTTCCTTCGGTGTCAAACAATAACATCAGTTGCTGCTGAGTTTACTTCACCTTATGGGTGCTAGCGTGGATCTGTGTTCCCCAGGGCCTTCAATGGCCAGAAAGTAAATGGCCAGGCCTTTCTTCTGGAGAACCTCTAGGTGGACAAACCCCCCGCCCCCAATTAACTACTAAGTCCATTAACTGCTGACACCACACAGGGAGTCTGGGCTGGCTACCTACGTGAAACCCAAAATAAAACTGTTTGATTATATATCTAATTGGATATTTAATGGTTTTTAGATCATTTCCTAAATACATCAGGCTTAGCAGGTACTTAAACATATATTTGAATAATTAATTGTTTCCAGGTATTTCTCAACCAACATCAAAGTTAACACCTGCAAAGTTTAGCTCAAGTACTCTCTTTTGGGAAATCTTCTAGACTCCAGCCGGCCTAGTAACCCCTCTTCTGGACCTCTTGAGTCTTTGACTGCCTGATACCCGCTGTTTGATTACACACTACACAGTGTTTGATAGCCATCTATTGGTCTACCTCTCCTACCAGACTGTGAACCTAAGGGCAGGCCTGCTGTTCTACTTGATTTTATATTTCCTTCATCTACATTCTCACCACTGGACCAATTGGCAGCATCAGGATGGATGGTGAAGAGATTGAGATTGTACACAGCTTTAGTTTGCTTGGCTCCACAGTCAACCCTCTTGGCACCAGTAGCCAGGAAATTAAAAGGCGCATTGCCATGGGAAAGTCTGCTGTTAGGGACCTCTCCAAAGTACTGAAGAGCAATGGTGTCTCTCTGGAGACTAAGGTACGTCTGTTACAGGCCATGGTCTTTGCAATCACTTGTTATGCATCAGAGAGTTGGACAATGACCAAGGAGGATAGAAGGAGAATTGATGCCTTTGAGCTGTGGTGCTGGAGAAGAGTATTGCGAATACCATGGACTGCTGGGAAAACAAACAGATTTGTCCTGGAAAGGGTTAAACCGTGTGGCTCCTTGGAGGCAAGGATTCTGAGGCTCCGTCTAACATACTTTGGACATGTTGTGAGGAGAGACCGGTCCTTAGAGAAGGACATCATGCTTGGGAGGGTGGAGGGATGGCACAGGAGGGGAAGGAGGTGGATTGATTCAGTGACTGGGATAATCGAGATAGGAGTGTCAGAGACAGTGCGACTGGCACAGGACAGAGCACAGTTTAGGGCTGTTGTACATAGGGTCGCTATGAGTCACAAGCGACTTGATGGCACATAACAGCAACAACACAATTGTCACAACTGGGCCAACAGGCAATGACGTGACAGATGCAGAAAAGACTGAAACTGTCAATGATTTCACCTTGCCTGGATCCATAATCAATCCCATTGAACCAGCAATCAAGAAATCAAAACATGGGTTACACTGGGAAAATCTGCTTTCAAGATGCTAAGGAGCAATGATGTCAGTTTAAAGAGTAAAGTGTACTTGATTTGAGTTATGGTCTTTTCAGTTACTTGCTATCCATTGGAAAGTGTGACAATGTATAAGGATGACAGAAGAACTAAAGGGTGACAGAAGAACTAATGCATTTGAGTTGTGGGATTGCAGAAGAGTATGTGATATTCCATGGACTGTCAAGATAATGAACAAGTATGTCGTATGTCTTGGAGAAAGTACAACTAGAGTGCTCCTTGGAGGCAAGGATGGTGAAAAGTTCATCTCACATACTTTGGGCATGTTTTAGGAGGGGCTAGTCCTTGGAGAAAAACATTATGCTTGGAAAGGTGGAAGAGAGAGAAGAATATCCTTAACAAGACGGATTGTCACAGTAACTGTAACAACGGACTCAAGTACATGAGAGATGGTGAGGATGGCAGAGACAGGGCAGAGTTCAGCTCCAGGGTTCATTAGGTTGCTGGGACTTGTAGCTGATAGTTTCAAACAACAGCATTGTACTCAGCAGCTAGCAACTATTTAATATGTATTTGCTGAATGACTAAATTATTGAATGAATGAAAGAACTCTGGCTGACACTCAGCCACCATTCATGGAGGCAGAAAAGATTTCTTTCTTCCAGGTTAGGTATGATCAATCAGGAAGGCAGCGACAAGTCTCAGATCTAATTCACAGACATCTGTCTGAACGCACCTGGCCTTGGCACACTACAGGAGACTTTAGGGGATTTTCTGGGAGAAGTTATTGGTTCCTGTCAACTCCAAAGCACCTGCAGTGTCTGGAGAAGAGGGAATAGCAGGAAGGAGGAAAAATGCATCAAGTGTCCAGAAGTAATTTCTAGGTGGGTCTTTCAAAATCGTTAGAGGATTTCCTTTCACAGGCCTAGCATTTGTGTTAACGTGACTGATGCCAGTGCTCACTGCTGGGTAACAACGTGGCTGTTGACACCTGAGTGGCTACTACTTTCCCAGGTCACGATGGCCCATGAGATGATGAGCTGCGCCCTGGGTCACATGATCCTCTACCTGGCTCCACCTGATCCTCTTACCCAGTCTTGAGCTGGGATAGAGGCGGAGACTTTCCCTTTGTAGGCCCCACTTAGGAGTGACAGCAGGCAGCTCTGGGCCAGGCTAACCACCAAGAGCTGGTCCTCAGGGGATTTCCCTGATTCCTCGGGAAGTGAAGACATACCTTGAGAATACATGGAAGCAACATTAATTGCTGGAGTCTGGTCTACTCCCACACAGGGCCAGGAGCTGGGCAGATGAGGCTAGGCGGGGTCCTGACTGACAGGCAAGAGTATTTGGAACTGAAGCTGATTTGAGATGAGGGTGATCAGCAGAGAAAGGCCATTCCTAAGCCCAATCTTATTCCTAGTTCTTCTGCTCACTCTAATCATTTGCACCACAAAATATTCATCTCATATACTCTGGCCGTATTGTCAGGATGGGCCAGTGCTTGCCAAAGGATACCATGCTGGGGAAGGAGGGTGGTCAGAGAAAGACAGGAAGACATGATAACATGTCTTAACAGGATAGATTGACAACGGTAACTTTAACAATGGGCTTGGACATAACAGAGGTGATGAGGATGCCACAAGATAGGGCAAGGTTCAGAACTGTTGTGTGCAGGATCACTGTGAATTGTAGTTGGCTCAATGGCACCTATCAACAACACGATAGGCAGGCAGGCATCAGACCATGTACATATGCCTAATGGTCTGGAAACCATTAGTCAATCAATCAAATACACAAGTGTACCTGCTGAGCTAGGCATAATGCAAGGTACATTCCATTAAAAAAGTCATCTATGAAGTATTAAATTGTAAACAATTATAAATCACATGAACTTCAATCTCTCCCATGCTGAGACCAGAAGAATTAGATGGTGCCCGGCTGCTATGGCTGATGGCTCTAAAAGGAATCACAGCAGAGGGTTTTGGGTAGAATGGGAGAAAAATGTGGGACGAAGCTCTGAATCACAACAATGACCAAACTTGCTGTTCCAATAGAGACAGGCAGGACCCCTGAGACGTTGACCCTCAGTAATTGTTTGAGTCTGGAACTAATCTTATCATGAAGCTCAATGTTCAGCCACACAATAGACAGCTTGTAAGATGAACAGTAACATCAAGGAGGCATTGATTCCTTACAACAATCAACCATACAAGATCAGCAGGGCAGCATTTGCTCCATTTGCTCGGGGAGGGGGGGGACCATGAGGAGGAAGGGTTAGGATGGAAGCCTGAATGGAAAGGATAATGACAGAAGGAAGTGGCAAGTGTGCTATTAGTGGGGACTATAATTAATGTCATCAAACAAAATCTGTATGAATGATTGACATGAAAACCAATTTGCTCTGTAAACTTTCACTCAATGCACGATTAAAAAAGAAAGCTCCACCTCAGAGTTAACAATAACAGCGCTTGCTTCGGCAGCACATATACTAAAATTGGAACGATACAGAGATTAGCATGGCCTCTGTGCAAGGATCACACACACACACACACACATAGAGAGGTTAACAATAACAAAAAATAACCAAGCAATTAAATAATTCTTTCTTCAGCACCACCAATATATTTAATCCGGTGCATGTCACAAGGTAAACACTCACTAAATGTTTGTGGAATGAATCTGTGAATGACTGACAGACTTGTACTTGACCAAGAAAGAGGCCAAGATAACTCAGATGAGGTCCCTGGCACTTCCTCATGCTGATCTGGGCCAGTGACATCAGAGTGCTGAAGGACTCAATCAAGCTGGGGAAGTTCCCCAAACTTGTTTAAGGTCACTGTCTCTTTGAAAGAGCAAGTGACTAAGTCAGTAGGATAGGATCCTGAGCAAAAGTCCCAGAGACCTTTCAGCCAGGTGAGCCATGTGCAACCAGAAACCTAGATGCTGAGGTGCCAGTGGACTGGGAGAGCCGCTGGAGTTGGCTGGATTCCCCGTCCTCAGTTTTCACTTGGACTCACCCTCTCTAGTCCAACGAATGCCTATTGGACAATGAGCCCGTGCCAATCACTCAACTAGAGTCCCCAGAACCAGCTTCGAAGGGCTCTGACAGTGGGGCTAGGGCCAGGTCACTACATCCAAGGTGGAGGAGACCTATACTGCTACAGAAGGACATGCTGGCTCACAAAGGACAGCTTGCCAAGGACAAGGCTTCTGGGGGGCTGAAAGTTCATTTCTAGGAGCAGCAAGCACACCTAGGCCAAGGATTTTACCAAGGGAAGCGGTGCCTGTGGTGAATGCCGGCCTCATTTCTTCCTTCCTCCCCAGCCTTGTAATGTCAGGCAAGCCATTCAGCTTCCTCAGCTGTAAAATGGGACCCAAACTAACCACACTTCATGCATGAGGTTGTTATTGGAAGAACTGAGATCATGCTTATAAAGTAGTGGTGTGATGTGTGGATCATGGGACACAGTCAGGAAACAGAAGCCATTATAGCCGTTTTACTGGCTGTAAGCATTAACCGTATGTCTGGTCAGTCCACTTCTTTTCCTAACAACAAGAGCACACAGAGCTGGGTTGACAAAGCCTTGTAACAGGCATCAAGCATCTTATTATACACACTATCCCAAACCCTCAGAGCCATCTCTGGACGGGCCACTATTTTTACTACAAATCTCAGGCTCTGGCAGGTCAAGGGAGTTGTCCAAGGCCACACAGGCAATAACTGGGCCAAGATTTGGACTCAGGTCCTTCTGGCTCCAAAACCTTTATACTGTCCCCTGCTGCGTCTCAGGTCTCAGTCTCCTTAGCCACTGGTAAGATCCCTTCTTGGGCTTTGAGACCACTGCTGGTTGGGGCTAGGAAGCCTCCCCCCTCTCCCCCAAGCAGAAGTGAGCCAAGCCCACAATGTGACACAGAATACCTACTTGTCTGGTACTGGACACCCAGCACTGCCAAACAGGCCACCAGCCCTGCTGTCAGAAGTACCACCAGCACCACCAACCGCTTCTCCACCGGGGTCCGCGCAGACCAGCACCTCTGCCCACTCTGGGTGCTGCGGAAGTTCACCTGCAGGGAAGGAGGCAGGAGAGGTGGAGAGAAAATGAGTCCAGGGCCCCTCCTCTCCAGGAGGAAGGGACTTTGCTGCAGGCCCAGACCTTGGGGAGACATCAGGGCGACCCTGAGGCCTTAAGAGTGGTTCAGTTCCCACAAACTCAGCGCTAATCCAGGAAAGGAACCGCCACCCTCAGAGGCTCAGATTTGCACTCAACCATCAGAGTCAGTAGCTCGATCCAGCCAGGCCAGTGTTTTCAGTGTTACACGATATGGGTGGAAGTGAAAAAGAAAAAAAAAATACCCACCCAACTCCGCTTTTCCTTGTTTCTTCTGTAAGGAATTCATAAAAGAACAGGATGTTTGGACTTGCAGGCATCCAGGGAGTGTCCAGCTGGGCTCTCCTTGGAACTCAGTAACAGGGCTGGCGACAAGGATGCTACAACTCCCAGGAGCAGTACATTTACCCTCTCAATTAATTCATTAAAGAAGAGCTGCGTTCTTATTTCTCTTTTTACAGATTAGGAAACTGAGGTCCGGAGGCTGCCACCTAGTTAATGACTTGGGTTCAAGACCCTGTCGACGCGACTCCACCAGTGGGTTAGAGATTGGGGTTTTAGGAGATGTCAGGGGAGGGATGCACAGAGAAATGGCTACATTCAGGCAGGTCCTTAGGGGGAGGGAAAAGGCCCCTGGTCTAAGAGTCTGGCTAAACAGGAAAAGAGGCACAATGGGAGGAAGTGGAGGGTGTGGTAGGGGCCTCCAGGGCTCGAGGAGGGGTCAGCACAGGCCTCAGCCCAGGCCCCTCCCACCTGAGGCCAATTTCAGGGTTTCCCTGATACTAGAGGTGCTTCCTGCAAGAGCCAGCAGCAGGACAAAGAGGGTCTACTGGAGGTGGGGCTCGGCTCAGTGACCATGTGGCCACATGGAGGGGAAGGGGGCTCCTTCCCTTTGAGCTACTCACAGCCCAGGAGGGAGAAAGATAAAAGGACTACAGAGAAAGAGGGCTAAACTGAAAGAGACAGGAACAGGACTACACCCACTAGAACATATATATAGGTTTGACAGAAAGCATTTCTGCAAAGGTATTGCTTATACTGAAGTATATCCATGTATATAATAGAGCACAAGGGGGCAAAGTGATACAAACTTCCTAGCATAACCAACACCTTGAGGGGATGCGTGTGGAGGCTTAAAAGCCTAGGAACACAGTCTTGGGGATATCTAGGTCAACTGGCATAAAGTAGTCCATAAAGACAATGTTTTACATCCTACTTTGGTAAGTAGAGACTAAGATTTTAAAACATTGCAAGCAGCCATCTAAGGTGTAACTGTTTAAGGCATAATGGTTTTCCCTCTGTAATGAGGTTAAAAAAAAAGAGTGAAGAAATTCAAGAAAATTATTCGTCCAAAGGACTAAGGGGCCATAAGAACCAAAATCTCTACTCGCATGAGACCAGAAGAACTAGACGGTCTCCAGCCACTTTCATTGGGATTATATGGTAGAAGGTCTTGCACAGAGTGCAAGAGAAAAAGAAAATAAAAATTATGAAAGAACCAGATGTACTGGTCTGAAATTGGCAGAAACCTCAAGACTATGGTCCTTTCACAGTCTTCAAAACTGGCACTGAACTCATCCCCAGAGGATCACCTTTCAACCAAACGAGAGAGCTATGAAATGAACAGTGACACCTATGAGGAAGGTAATCCTCAGAACCACCAACCACACAAGACCAAAACGGCCTCAGCTTCCCTAAAGCAAAGCTCAGAAAGCAGAAAGGGACAGGAAAGAAGGATGGATGGCCATGGAAAACTAGGGAGAAGTGGAGAGAATGCTGTTATACTGAGGATGATGCAACTAATGTCACAAATGAAAAAGATACATAAACTGCTGAATGGAAAAAATGTGATCTGTAGTCTTTTACTCAAACTACAATAAAAAGAAAAGAGACAAGGGTGGGCAGGAGTTCACTCAGGGAAGGCTTCCTAGAGGAGGTGATGCCTGGGCTGGGTTTCAATAGCAAGTATGAGCTAGCCAGGTGAATGAGAAAGAGCTGAAGGAAGCAAAGTCTAGCTCCTAAGTGGTACAGGCTAACAAGTTTTTATGTTTTGCTGAGAGCTTGAGTGGCATGGCTAGATTTGCTTTTTGGAAAGGCTTATGTCAAGAAGCAAGGCCTGGAGTGTAGTGAGCGGAAGAAGGGAGACTCCTAAGGAGGCTGCCTCAGCCTGCCAAGGAGCAGAGAGAGAGGGGGCAGCTCCAGGGAAGGCAAGGAGACCCAGCTTCCAAGCTGCACAGTTCTTCACCAACAGCTGCCAGGATACCTGTTCTCAGGAGGCACATCACAGTCCTTGAGGGAGCCTGACACCTGGGAGACTGAGGCAGGTCACCTTAGGGAAGGGCAGTGAAACAGAGCTGGGTGCTGTCTTGGCAGGAAATGACTGGGAATTGATGCACTAGAGAAAGAAGAACACAGGAAAAGGAACTTGAGGTCAGTTAGCATTTCTACAGAAGTCCAGCCTGGCTGGAGGCCCCAAAATCACGAAAAGGAGCTAGAGGCTTGGTGTTATTTCTGAAGAGGTCCAGTCTGACCAAGGTCCTAGAGACTCATACACAAAACCAGTACACAGGAAGGGTGGGGGAGTGCCACTTTCTGAAGCTCCTTAAGAACTCTGAAATGTAAAAAACACCAACTTAAGGTGGATCATGGATCTAGGACTAAAACCAAGGACTATAAACTTCATTAAAGAAAAGCTTGGAAGAATTCTAGTAGGCCTAGTCCAGAACATAAACAGTCTCCCAAGTATCCTGAAAAATCTACAACCAGAAGATAAAATAGATGGATGGGACCTTCTAAGAATCAAATCCCTATGCACATCCAAAAACTTCTCCAACAGGGTAAAAAGGGAAGCCACAGACTGGGAAAAAGTGGTAATGACATGTCAGATAAGGGACTTATATCTAGAATTTATAAAATACTTGAGTACCACAACAAGATAAAGGTATATAATCCAATAGAAAAATGGGCACAGGATATGAATAGACACTTCACCAAAGAAGAACATTGAGATGGCCAACAAGCACATGAAGAAATGTTCAAAATCCCTAGCTCTAAGAGAGATGCAAATCAAAACAACTATGAGATATCATCTCACTGCAGAGTCAGAATAGCAAAATTTAACAGAAGAGCATGCAACAAATGCTGGCGAGGTTGTGGAGAAACTGGAACCCTTATTCACAGTTGGTAGGAGTGTAAAATGGTGCAACCACTGTGGAAGGCGGTATGGCGCTTTCTCAAAAAGTTGCAAATAGAGATACCATTTGACCCAGCAATTCCACTACTGGGAATATATCCCAAAGAGACCATAACTGACATCCAAGCAGATATATGCACACCCATGTTTATCGCAGCTCTGTTCACAATAGCAAGGAGTTGGAAACAACCCAGGGCCCATCAACAAACGAATGGGTAGAGAAGCTGTGGTACAGTCACACAATGAAATACTATGCTGCATTGAAAAACAAGGAACTCATTCAATATTATTCAAAATGGGTGAGCCTGGAGGACATTATGCTGAGTGAAATTTCTCAGTCACAAAAGGACAAATATTGCATGGTGCCACTGCTGTAAAATGGGACTGATATCAGGGTGGGGATAAGACAGAAAAACTGGATAAATTGTGTATACTGCACTGAAACAGATGAGAGACTGAATAATTTAAAAGTGATGTATGATAGGGTTATTATGGTTATCACAAGAGTCCACAATTAAGGTTGCATAGTGGAGTGTACTTGGGGAGGTAGGAGGGGTGCAGGGGGATTGTGTCCAAGGGAGGGAGTCTTTCTTTTACTTTTGAAAGAGAGAAGCAAACTGGGGGGCGGGGGGAGAGGGCTGGGCGGTGAGAGAAGTGCAGCAATGAATGAATGGAAATCCAAATTCTCTGTAAATGTTCATTAAAATTATTTAAAAAAATAAAATTAAATTAAAAAAAATGTAAAAAACAAAGGTTTCCAATCATGAGACTCTCATTTGTTAAAATTGGGCTGCAAGAACCTGGTGCAGAGGCAACCTGGGACAATGCTAACGTGTCCATGCACTCTCACATATGCTAAGTGCCTTTCCAGTCATCAATTATCTAACACAATCTACTTGGGGCACTGGCATTTATTTTACTCTTTCTTATTTGTGTTCCTGGACTTGTCACTTGTCTCACCCTGCCTTCTCCTTGAGGTCTCTCAGTAATCCACCATCAAAGCTCAGCTACTGGGAGGTCTGAGTGGTGTGTGTGGCCAAGGGCAGAGAGAACTCGACTTAAAGGGGTGCCTCCAAACTTGGAGGGGAAATTGAGGAATCAGCTCTATGAAGCCAGAAAACTTTACTTATCTAGATCGAGAGATGCCATAGTGTTGAGAGCAAGGAGACAGCCAGGAGCAAGAAAAAAGAAGAAACTGAGGTGAAAGGAAAAGGCATACAGGGTGGTGCAGTGGTTAAGTGCTTAGCAGCTAACCAAAAGGTCAGCCATGTTAATCCACCAGCTGCTCTGAGGGACACAGATGTGGCAGTCTGTTCTTGTAGAGATTACAGTCTGGGAAATTCTATAGGACAGTTCTACCCTGCCTTCCTGGGTTGCTATGAGTCTGAATCAACTTGACAGCAACAAGTTAACATCTGAGTGCTTATTATGTGTTTCCGGCATTGCGCTAATTCTATTTGTTGCTTGAGTATGCTATTCTAGATCCACAACATCACTAAAAGCAGGTACTACTAGTACAGGCTCCGGAAGAAACACAGGAAGGGGGTGGCAGGGGGAGAGAGGCCTCTGGGACAACCCAGCTTTCCAGAACTGGCGGCCTCATCCCAATTAGGCAATGCTACCCTAGAGGAGCAGAGTGGAGCTGAGCCTGTTTGTTTGATGTCAAGGAAAGTGCTGAATCTAAACAGATGGTGTTCACTGTGAAATTAAATTAGAATTAAGTCAGAATTAAATTAAAGATTCATAGTTCCAGGCAGGAGGAG